CCTGGGGACCCACAGGTTGAGAACCACTGCCCTAGGCTAATCTGGAAGAGCCATGAATCTCAAAGGATCAGCTGTTTTGTTGCAGAGACATTCAAAACACTGACAACTGACACAAAGCAATATGGGGATGCAACACACTGATGCTGGCTTCCCTGACGATTCTGGAAAACAATACAGGGCTGCAATTTTACTTGTAATTGTTCCACTACTAAGGAAGTTCAGCTGGGGGCTAAGCATGCCATTCATTCACAGAGTGATTTCTATCAGTAACCGAAACACTTCCCTGATTCAGAAGGGATCGACAATGATGCTGTGTGTTGAAGTGCGTGACTAGAAGAGCAAGGAATCTGGAGACCTTTAAAGGAAAATTCCATGGAATCTTTGTGCTGGAGCTCTGGTCCTGAGGAAGATGTCTCAAGGGGCAGTCACGGAACAAAAGGCTTATTTAATACTTGCGTATTCTTCGGCTCATGTGCAAATCTGAGGATGATATCTTTGGATAGGGTGCTTCTTTTCAGGTTCATGATGATGGGTTCATGGTGATGTGCATGGATTGGCATTTCTTGAAGTCCAGATCAGGACAGATTTCATTCATTCAGGTCAGTGCGAACATCAGCAAACCTCCCTATTTCACAAACTCTTAAGTGAGGCCTCTTCCACACAGCTGAATAAAATCTCACATTTTCTCCTTTGAACTGGGATATATGGCAGTGTGGATGCAGATAGCCCAATTCAAAGCAGATCTTGTGGGATTTTCTGCCTTGATATTCTGGGTTATATAGCTGTCTGGAAGGGCCTTGAAATTGTTTTTTTGTTTTGTTTTTTAACAAAACAAACCATTATGAGAAAAAAATAAAGTAAGTTCTGGAATGTCGTCACCGTGGCCAGCGGTGAAGCATCACGGAAATGTCTCGTCTCCAGTGTCATCAATTGGGAGCCCCTCCCCCAGCACCAACTACTGCTTTGAGACCAGAYTGAAGAGAGGGGCCTGGAAAACAGTCCCATCTTATCTCCTGTATCATCAGTTGGGAGCCCCTCCCTGCAGCACCAACTGRTTCTCTGGGATCAGAATGAAGAGAGGAGTGGTGGAAGACAGTTCCATCTTGTCTCCAGTGTTATCAGTTGGGAGCCCCTACACCCAGCACCAACTGCTGCTCTGAGACCAGAGTGAAGAGAGGGGCCTGGAAGACAGTCCCATCTTGCCTCCAGTATCATCAATTGGGAGCCCCTACCCCCAGCACCAACTGCTGCTCTGAGATCATAGTGAAGAGAGGGGCCTGGAAGACAGTCCCATCTTGTCTCCAGTGTCATCAGTTGGGAGCCCCTACCCCCAGCACCAACTGCTGCTCTGAGACCAGGGTAAAGAGAGGGGCCTGGAGAACAGTCCCATCTTGTCTCCAGTGTCATCAGTTGGGAGCCCCTCCYCCCAGCACCAACTGCTGCTCTGGGYTCAGAGTGAAYAGGGGGMGCTGGAAGACAGTTCCACCTTGTCTCCTGTATCATCCTGTATCATCAGTTGGGAACCCCTCCCCCCAGCACCAACTACAGCCCTGAGACCAGAGTGAAGAGAGGGGACCAGGAAGACAGTTCCACCTTGTCTCCTGCACTGTGCTAATAATATAATATAATATATTGTGTATACATATAATATTGATAATATTATAATGTACTACAATAATAATAATACGATACAATTATATATTTTATATTACATGTAATATTACTAATAACATTACAGAATAATGGTATAGTACAATATAGTAATATATAATACTAATATTGTGCTATGGTAATAATATAATATTTTGTATTTACAAATTACTTGTAAGCTGCTGAGTCCCCTTCAGGGTGAGAAGGGCGACATATAAATGTCATAAATAAATGACTGAATAAATAAATGTAGTCTAATCACAGCTACAAAGTCAGAATTTGTCCACCACCTTTGTCCTTAAAAAACTAGCTCCTTTCGCCCATGGTACAGATCGTTCTAGCTCTTAACAAAAGATGAGGACCTTCTTCTCAGTACAGCATGTCTTCTCTTTCAATTCATTTAAGATTTTGATTAAATATCTGAGAGCACAGTGGCGGGGGAGAGTAGTTCTCCAGACACACAAGAATTTCTACGGGTTTATTAATGCATAAGCACACCCCAGGGGAGCAAAAGAAATCACTTTATAGCTGTTCCCTAATTTTATTTGCTGATGGAATTCAATTTTGCTCCTTGCTAATTTGCAGATGGCAAGTGCCCTTGTTGAAGCAAACAGATGACACTAGAGGTAGAGAACATACATACTTGAGGTGAGAGCTGAAGTTAGATGTTTCCTGGAACAGTTGTTCTCAGGAACCTTCCACACAGCCCTATATCCCAGAATATCAAGGCAGGAAATCCCACATTATCTGAGTGTGGACTCAGATAACCCAGTTCAAAGCAGATATTGTGGGTTTTCTGCCTTGATATTCTGGCATATAGGACTATGTGGAAGGGCCCCATAATACAACGTGGATAAGGCAATCCTGTTATAGGTCTACTCAGATATAAGCGTCATTGAATTCTATTGCACTACTGCCATGTAAAAATAGGATAGGAAAGCACTAAAGGTTTAGAGCCAAAATTCTTGGACGTCATTTCTGAACTAACACTGAGATAGGCTTCATGCAGATAGATCATAAAATGACTGAGGATTGAGCTGTTTAAGTTTCCCATTGTAGCCAATGGGTCAAATCCTTGCCAAATGAAAACGGAAACACCCCCCCCCCCTATTTGAGTAACTTCCTGGTTAACAGAAGAATGAGTGGCCAGCCGACAATGGACACCAACTGCATGCCTTTTGATCAAATTGCACACCTCTAGTTCTCAGGGCTTCATCCTAAAATGCCTCCAGGATGGTGCACCGCCAGAAGTAGCCCTAGAAGTATCCTAGGACAGAGCGAAAACCCAATGTGATGAGGTCCTAAGACAACTATCCAAGACTTGACTCCAACAGTTGGTAAACAAGGGATGAGAATAACACAATCCTCTAAAGGTTGCTGAACTGGAAACATATTCTATGATGAGGAATGCTGGCAGTTGTAGTACTATTAGCTTTTATGGAAGCTCTAGGGGAAACGGGTGAGAATCAGTTGATAGGTCGTTGAGGAGGAAATGTTTTACAGTTTCCCAGAAAAGAATACTCACAATGCCATCCTATATATTATGACTCAAACTGAAGTTTCTGCTTTTACAAAAATTGATCCTAACTTGGGATGTATATCTCGCCAATATTTTAAAGTAATGTCTAACACTTGAGCTTTTTCCCCACACCTACAAGATACACTGAAAAGCTCTTTTTGCTTTTCTGTCAGAGGACTGAAATATTCCTGTTTGTTCTTACCGCCCCCACCCTATAACACACACTCAAGTCTGTGCTCATTCTATCAGTAACAGCCTGTTCAAGTAAACAATATTTAGACATGTGCTGGATTTAAACTATTAATGATTGGGTCGGGTGTAGGTCTAACTTTTCAGATATAGAAAACAATACAAATTTACAAACATACTACTAGACCAAATCTGCACCTTTTTCTCTATTTTTTCATGTTAGGAGCGACTTGAGAAACTACAAGGCACTTCTGGTGTGAGAGAATTTGCCGTTTGCAAGGACATCGCCCAGGGGACACCCGGATGTTTGGATGTTTTACCATCCTTATGGGAGGCTTCTCTCATGTCACCGCATGGGGAGCTGGAGCTGATAGAGGAAGGTCATCCTCAGATTCAAACATCTGACCTGTCAATCTTCAATCCTGCCAACAAAAAGGTTTAACCCATTGGGCCACCGTGGGCTCTGCCTCCTCCCTATGACTTTCCCTCACATATTTACACATGGCCATCATGTGTCCTCTCAGCCTTCTCTTTTGCAGGCTAAACATGCCCAGCTCTTTAAGCCGCTCCTCATAGTGCTTGTTCTCCAGACCCTTGATCATTTTAATCACCCTCCTCTGGACACAATCCTGCTTTCAACATCTCCCTTCAATTGTGGTGCCCAGAATTGGTCACAGTGTGATTCCAGGTATGGTCTGACCAAGGCAGAATAGAAGGGTAGCGTGATTTCCTTGGATCTAGACACTCCTATTTATGCAGGTCAAAATCCCATTGGCTTTTTTAGCTGCCGTATGACATTGTTGGCTCATGTTTAACTTGTTGTCCACGAGGACTCCAAGATCTTTTTCACACGTACTGCCGGACATCCCCCATTCTGTATCTTTGTATTTTGTTTTTTTTCTGCCTAAGTGGAATATTTTGCATTTGTCCCTGTTGAACTTCATTTCAACAGAGATCTGGGGAGTTGCTGTCTCGGGAGCTGAAGGATTTTGGGAGTTGTATTCTAACAAAATAACATTTTCAAACTCCGGAAACCAAAGCATCACAGTCTCAAAGTTGTGTTATGTTATATGGTCGATTTACTCCTGTATAGGAATTGGCTCACAATGATACCGATCTCAGGAGACATTAAAAATCTATCACAGTTTTCAGTTGCCTTCCCCACCATTAGATAAGAGAGAGAAAAAGAAGATGCTCTATGTTCTTTTGAGAGAAAGAGGCCCAGTATTATGATTAACATCCTTTCATTGAGTATGCTGAAGTATTTAGCCATAATGAGTTCACCAAACAAAGGATTAAGTGGAAACTTGGATTCCTAGGGGACCGCTGATAGATGTGTGAAAACCCGCCACTATAAACCATTCGGCGACTACCGCTATGCTGAGGGATTGTTATTCTGATGTTGTTATCTACCAGAAGTGTTCCCATTTGTTTATAAAATGGTTTTGGCTACAAGCTTTGAATTTAAATAACTTCACCTCTTTCTGTTCTTTGTTCTCCTGAAGAAGAGTTCATGGAAAACAGAAACTTTTTATTCTTCCCCCTTCCTGTTCCACTTCCAACAAAAGAATAGTCTCAGGTGAAGGATGCTGCTTTTCTTTCACAACCAAGTTAACAATGAAGTGGAGAAAAAGCATATTACCTCTTCTGGAGCACAGGTTTGAGCATTTCTCAGAAAAGGTCTCCTTGGGGTAAGGCTGGGGAGGGTAACGGGCATCTCCGTGAGTTGCTGCTGGGTAGCGCTGGTAAGGCTCTGTGAAAACACTGGAAGATCTTGAAGGTTCAGGTGTTGAAGACCTACAGGTGAAGCAAGATAGAAGTCATGAGGCAGAGCAAGCAGAAGACAGCATGGCGCAGTGGTTTAAACATTGGACTATGACTCTGGGGACCAGGGTTTGAATCCCCACTCAGCCATGGAGACTCACTGGATGACCTTGGCCAAGTCCCACTCACGATGTAACACAATTCTTATTCCTGGGTTATAAATGTCATTTCCTAATTGGTTTTATCATAAAAACATGGGAAAAGTTTATTAAACTACAAAAACTTTGGGTTGCTGTGAGTTTTCCAGACTGTATGACCATGTCCTAGAAGCATTCTGTCCTGACATTTTGCCTACATTTATGGCAGGCATCCTCAGAGGTTGTGAGGTCTGTTGGAAACTAGGCAAATGATGTTTATATATCTGTGGAGTGTCCAGGGTGGGAGAAAGAACTCTTGTCTGTTTGAGGCAAGTGTGAATGTTGCAATTGGCTACCTTTATTAGTACTGAATGACCTTGCAGCTTCAAAGCCTGGCTGATTCCTGCCTGGGTGAATCCTTTGTTGGGAGGTGTCAGCTGGCCCTCATTGTTTTCTGAAAATCCCCTGTTTTTTTTAGTATTGCTCTTTATTTACAGAGAAGCCTTTGAAATACCTTAGCATGTGGACAATTGCAACAGAAAACCATGACAATGAACAAATCTGGTTATCACTATATTAAAAAACTCTCAAATCAGGACAGTAAATAAAGAGCAACACTCAAAAACAGGGGAATTCCAGACAGGAAACAATCAGGGCCAGCTAACACCTCCCAACAAAGGATTCCCCCAGGCAGGAAGCAGCCAGGCTTTGAAGCTGCAAGGCCATTCAATGCTAATCAAGGTGCCCAATTGCAACATTCACACTTGCCTCAAACAGACACGAGTTTTTTCTCCCACCCAGGACATTCCACAGATATATAAACATCACTTGCCTAGTTTCCAACAGAACTCTCAACCTCTGAGGATGCCTGACATAGATGTGGGCAAACGTCAGGAGAGAATGCTTCTGGAATGTGGCCATACACCCTGGAAAACTCACAGCAACCCAGTGATTCCGGCCATGAAAGCTTTCGACAACACATTACAAAAACTTTGTTTTTGCGAGACATCCTGCAGTACATGTAGCTATAGTTTTCCAATGGATATCTCATCAAGTCTCAACCATTTCAATACAGTTTGTGACAGCCTCATAAACAAAGTTCCTGGAGTATAACAACTACTTCCAAACTAGAAAGTACATAACAGTACCACACAATTAAACAGGAAGTAACACTTTCAAACCACGAATACTTTTTTTCCAAATTTTATTACATAGTATAATAGCACTTCTTGAGGCCAAAATACTAAGAACTACTCACAACGAAAAGTTTTCGGCCTGTTCACATTCTTTGATATGACAACTAGGAAAAGGACTGAACATTTAACTTAAATCCACCTTTATAATATTTATATATTTACATTATGTATCATGTGTATCCATCATTGTCTCATTTTCTCCTGCCCCCACTTAGTTTGTCACATAACTACCTTTATCAGATTAGGCATCTTCATCACAGGTCGATGCTCTATTCACAATATCTTCAGCCTCTACTGACCCTGATTGCTAAATGGCAAACATGGAATCCAATGAAACTTTCCAGAATATTAAATAACACATATTACATCAAACAATCGTGATCATTGTGGCTCAGATTATTTTTTTAAAGTAGGAAAAGTAGTTCGATGAGCGGCCAAGGTCGGCATAACTGATGGAGTATACTAACAGTTGCTAGGATGGAGAGACAGGAAAATAAACTATTGAGTGATATCTCTTACTCCCAAGGTGACCATGTGTTGGCTTCCGGACATCTGATGACAACGTACTCTTAACACAGTAGTTCTCAACCTGGGGGTCCCCAAATGTTTTGTCCTTCAACTCCCAGAAATCCTATCAGCTGGTAAACTGGCTGGTATTTCTGGGAGTTGTGAGCCAAAACACCTGGAGACCCACAGGTTGAGAACTACTGTCTTAATGTCTAATGAGAACTCAAGTTCAGTAGCACCTGTAAATCCACAGAGGCCTTTGAAATATGGACTACAGATTCCATAATTCATCATCATTGTCTGTTAGCTCAGACTGCTGGAGGCCATAGCCCAAAAACCCTAAAGGACAACCCCCAACTAGCCATGCCTCATTGGTCTCCCTAGGACAGTGGTTCTCAATCTGTGGGTCCCCAGATGTTTTGGCCTTCAATTCCCAGAAATCCTATCAGCTGGTAAACTGACTGGGATTTCTGGGAGTTGTGGGCCAAAACACCTGGGGACCCACAGGTTGAGATCCACTGTCTTAACGTCTAATGAGAGCTCAAGTTCAGTAGCACTTGTTAGTCCACAGAGGCCTTTGAAATATGGACTACAGATTCCATAATTCATCATCGTCTGTTAGCTCAGACTGCTGGAGGCCATAGGCCAAAAACACTAAAGGGCAACCCTCAACTAGCCATGCCTCATTGGTCTCCTTAGGACAGTGGTTCCCAACTTGTGGGTCCCCAGATGTTTTGGCCTTCAACTCTCAGAAATTATGGCTGGGATTTCTGGGAGTTGTAGGCCAAAACACCTGGGGATCCCCAGGTTGAGAACCACTGTTCTAGAAAAAAATTCTAGATTGCTTAGCAGTTGCTATTGCTACCACCCACACTTGTTAGCTTGCCAGATAGACAGCTACTGAACAAGTCCACTGCAATTTATTCTCCTCTTGTCCTTCAACCCACTTTGTGTTGTTTTGCAGAAAACTAGTCAAAGGGCAGGTTTAGCAAGAGGTTAGCAATGATGAATGAGAGAAATTGGTCCAGAGGTGTCTTCACAACAAATCTTCCTCCATTCTCGCATCTTTTTCAGTGTTGTTTCATGTAAAGCACCCTCCAACGATTTCCTTCCTAATCAGCAATATTTATGTCAGCCCAAGGAATCTCTGAGTCTTAATTTATGGTGAATCCTCTTCCACCACCCACAAGGTTCTCACACTCCTTGCTGCATCTAAATGAGTATTCGTATAAGTATAATATGCTGGCAAAGCATAATTGCAGTTTTCTCCCTTAGAAAAATGGTATTCTCGGGCAGATTTAACATCTCTTTACTTAGGCAATCACTCATTCTCTGAGTATGATGGCCTTCCAAGTGTAGTGTCTTGGCAGTGGGTTCGTAAGTGACTGTGGAACACTATTCTTGATCCACATGTTCTTCCACAGTGAAGGCATCGGTTTTCAGGTGGAAAACGGTCCCGATCAAAGTTGACTTGACAATCCTTCCTCTTGGCATGTTTCTCCCTTCCAACCTTCATTTGTGCCTCTTCAAATTCCACAGCACTGCTGATCACAGCTGACCTTCAGTTAGAGTGCTTAAGGGCCTGGCCCCCCCAGTTCTCTGTGTCTATGTCACGGTTTTAAAGGTTTGCTTTAAGCCCATCTTTAAATCTCTTTTCCTGTCCACCAACATTCCATTTTCTGTTCTTGAGTTCGGAGTAGAGTAACTGCTTTGGGAGACAGTGGTAGGGCATTCTGACAACGTGGCCAGTCCAGCGGACTTGATGGTGGAGGACCATTGCTTCAATGCTGGTGGTCTTTGCTTCTTCCAGCACACATTTGTTCGCCTGTCTGCCCCAGAGATTTGCAGGATTTTTCGAAAACAACGGGGATGGAATTGTTCCAGGTGTTGCGTATGAAGTCTGTAAACAGTCCATGTTTCACAGGTGTATCACGGGGTTGGGAGGACAATGGCTTTACAAACAAGCACTTGGTATCCCACTGGATGTCCCAATCCTCAAACACTCTCTGCTTCATTCGGAAAAATGCTGCACTCACAGAGCTAAAGCGGTGTTATATTTCAGTGCCAATGTTGACTTTTGTGAAGAGGTGACTGCCAAGGTAGCAATTAGAAATTGTGGGAGTTGAAGTCCAAAACACCTGAAGGGCCGACGTTTGCCCATGCCTGCTTTACAGTATATAATCTTAGAATTAAAGCCTCAGTCACCCTGCCTGACAACAATGTCATCCTTTTTAATAAGCAGAAATACTGCAGTGACACACAATAGAAAAATCTCTCAGGGCTGTTAAGCATGGGGACAGCAGGGGTCCCATTTTGCCTGGATATCATCCAAAAGCTCATGTGTGACAAAGAAAGTACATGTGTGAAAAAATGTGGAGGAAAAAAGTACATTCCATTATGGCTTCTTTTGCTTGCCACTTATGCCGTATACTACAAGGAAAAAGATAATAATGACGACTTACCTGTCATTTGCTGCATATGGTTTTCGACTTCTCTCATTGATGTATCTGTTCGTCCCAGGGCTCTCCTTGTATCTGTAATCTTTATTTGGATGAGTCCGCTCTGAATAAGACATCTTCTCTCTTGCTGAAACTGCCTGTCAATGAAAAAAGCACAAACCTTCCAGTGCAAGTTATTTAATGATCAAGAGTTGCAAAAACAAGGTTACACCTATTATACCACAAGGAAGATAAAAATACATATTAACTAGAATCTTAATTATATGCATGGAACGGCGACTTTGTGGCTTGCAATGGAGAGGCAGAAGATGTTCTGGCATACAATTTCCATCAGCCTTAACCGGCATAACCACTGGCCAAAGGTTTCACAACTTTAGTGAGAAGGAAGCCTGAAAGATCCATTCAGAACTGAACAATAAAAACCAGAGAAGAGCGGATGACAAAAAGCAGGTAAGGTAAAGGTTTTCCTCGACATTAAGTCCAGTTGTGTCTGACTCTTGGGGTTGGTGCTTATTTCCATTTCTAAGACAAAGAGCCGGCGTTGTCCATAGACACCTCCAAGTTCATGTGGCCAGCATGACTGCATGGAGTGCCATTATCTTCCTGCAGAAGCGGTATCTATTGATCTACTCACATTTGCATGTTTTTGAACTGCTAAGCTGCCAGAAGCTGGGACTAACAGAGGGAGCTCATGCCGCTCCCCAGATTTGAACCTGCAAACTTTCGGTCAGCAAGTTCAGCAGCTCATTGCTTTAACCCACTGTGCCACTGGGGGCTCCTTGACAAAAAGCAGAAGCAGCCCAAATTGAGGTGTTGCTGTTTGAAGCTTCTCCAAAAAGGTTTAAAGTTGGCAAATTATCACACAGAACAGGAGTCCCCAAAATAAGGTCCTCCAAGGGTCTTTACCTGGTCCCTGCACTAAGTTTTAGACTTAGGGTTGCCCTTAGAATCTCATCACATTAAACCAGTGGCGCAATGGTTCTCAACCTGTGGGTCCCCAGGTGTTTTGGCCTACAACACCCAGAAATCCCAGCCAGTTTACCAGCTGTTAGGATTTCTGGGAGTTGAAGGCCAAAACATCTGGGGACCCACAGGTTGGGAAGCACTAGGTTAAACCCTTTTGCCGGCAGGACTGAAGATTGACAAGTTCGAATCTGGGGAGAACGCAAATGTGCTCCTTCTGTCAGCTCCAGCTCCCCTATGCGGGGACATGAGGGAAGCCTCCCACAAGGATGGTAAAACATCAAAACATTCAGGCATCCCCTGGACAACATCCTTGCAGATGGCCAATTCTCTCACACCAGAAGCGACTTGCAGTTTCTCAAGTCGCTCCTGACACACACAAAACAAAACCATGGCATGGAAAATCTGTCACCCCACAACTCGTATCACCCCTCACGTTATCCCACGGGAGGAAGTGTTGCCACCCAGCTTCCCCTCATTGTTTTCTATGCAATATTGGAACCCTCCTGTGTTGCCACCACTGCCTCCTGCAATGCTTGGACCTCTCTGCGTGTACGGAGCCCCGCTGGGAGTAGATCAACACCATGTGATGGGATCTGGCAGGTTCCTTGCCAGAAGAGAAATCCAAGTGTTGTAGGATGGGCAATTTTGCTTGTCTGATGAAATCCTAAGTCTGAAACAACTTGAAGGCAAACAACAACATCAATGCTAATTAAACTTGACTATCTCATCAGCTAAAAGTGAATCTGCAATTGGTTAAACAACCGAACCCAAAGGTACTTCTTCATCCTGGAAAAAAGTGACTAGTAGAGTGATCAAAGGTATGGAGACCATGAATCCCTATGAGGAGTGTCTTAAAGAGCTGGGTATGTTTACCCTGCAGAAGAGAAGGTTGAGAGGCGACATGAAGCTCATGGATAAATATGTGACACAGTGTCACAAGGAAGAGGAAGCAGGCTTCTTTTCTGCTGCTCTGGAGACTAGGACTCAGAGCAATGGCTTCAAAGTACAGGAAAGGAGATTCCACCTGAATATTAGGAAGAATTTCCTGATCTTGAGAGTTGTTCAGCAGTGGAACTCTCTGCCTCAAAGTCTGGTGGAAGCTCCTTCCTTGAAGGGTTTTAAAGAGAGGCTGGATGGCCATCTATCGAGGGTGCTTTGAATGAGGTTTTCCTGTTTCTTGGCAGAAGGCTGGACTGGATGGCTCACGAGGTCTCTTCCAACTGTATGGTTCTGTGATTCTATGACTGGTGTTTTTGCGCAATAGCAGCAGTATAGGACCCCTTACATTAAGGATGTTTGACCTAACCATTGTGATTGTAAATATATATATATATATATCAGTTATATTAACACAAATTGCTGTGGTACTCCCTGTATTGAAGAAAAAGGAAATACGGGGCAAATTAGATGTCGATGAGAGCTGTTCAGCAGTGGAACTCTCTGCCTCGTAGTCAAGTGGAAGCTCCTTTCTTGGAGGCTTTTAAACAGAGGCTGGATGGCCATCTGTCAAGGGTTTTTTATTGTGCTTTCCTGCATGGTAGGGGATTGGACTAGATGGCCCATATGGTCTCTTCCAACGCTATGGTTCTATAGGGTAAGGTAAAGGTTTTCCCCTGACATTAAGTCCAGTCGTATTCGACTCTGGGGGTTGGTGCTCATCTCCATTTCTAAGCCGAAGAGCCGGCGTTGTCCGTAGACACCTCTATGGACATGTTGCCAGCATGACTGCATGGTTTGGGAAAGAGAGATGATCCCTTCATGGTAAATTTGGGGGACGGGGGTATCTTTGATGACAAAAATCAATGTCTCACATCCAGTTCTGATTCCCTGATGGATCCCAACATTTTTTTTTTGTTGTGTCAGGAGTGACTTGAGAAACTGCAAGTCGCTTCTGGTGTGAGAGAATTGGCTGTCTGCAAGGACATTGCCCAGGGGACGCCCAGATGATTTGATGTTTTTAGCATCCTTGTGGGAGACTTCTCTCATGTCCCCGCATGAGGAGCTGGAGCTGATAGAGGGAGCTCATCTGCCTCTCCCCAGATTTGAACCAGCAACCTGTTGGTCTTCAGTCCTTCCGGCACAGGGGTTTAACCCACTGCGCCACCGGGGGCTCAACATTAAAATAGCTGAACAAACATTTGTCAAGAGATTCCATACCCTGAAGTTGAAAAGAAACAGGATTTTCAGCCCATTTCATATGAGAGCAAAAAATGTGTGTTACCACCCAACTAGGTAAAGGTAAAGCTTTCCCCTTGACATTAAGTCTAGTCATGTCTGACTCTGGGGGTTGGTGCTCATCTCCATTTCTAAGCTGAAGACCAGGCGTTGTCCATAGACACCTCCAAGATCATGTGGCCAGCATAACTGCATGGAGCGCTGTTACATTCCCACCGGAGCGGTACCTATAGATCTACTCACATTTGCATGTTTTCGAACTGCTAGGCTGGCAGAGGCTGGCACTAACAGCGGGAGCTCACTCTGCTCCCCAGATTTGAACCTGCAACCTTTCAGTCAGCAGGTTCAGCAGCTCAGCAGTTTAACCCACTGTGCCACCGGGGGCTCCTTGACAAAAAGCAGAGGAAGCCCAAATTGAGATGTTGCTGTTTGAAGCTTCTCCAAAAAGGGTACCTATGGATCTACTCACACTTGCATGTTTTCGAACTTCTAGATTGGCAGAAGCTGGGGCTGACAGCGGATGCTCACCCCGCTCCCTGGATTCGAACCTGTGGGTTTAACCCACTGTGCCACTGGGGGCTCCTATGAGTCTATATATATCCTCCCCTCTGGGTCCCCCAACTAGCAACACTCCCCAAAACGATTTCCTCCCTAAAGCCCGCCATTTCCTTGTTGTCACCTGCGAATGAAGAAGAGTCTCGGGTCTCAGGAGCTCCCAGCCATGGCGCCAGGTGGGAAAGGCAGGGCCAAAGGAGGAGCCCAAACTCCTGCTTTCTCCTCCAAGAGGGCGAAGGCGCTTCCTTATCAGGAGAGAGGCTGAGGAGAAGGAAGGAAAGCCAAAGGAGAGGGGGAGGTCTCCCAGGTAGCAGCCTCCTGAGGGTCCCGCCCCACTCTGGCCTCCCCACCTTCTGGGAGAGAGTCGGGTTTCGCTCCAACCAGGAGGAGTGACCTGTTGAGCCTGCTGAAACCATCCCGGGGCGGGGCAAGAGCCAGGGAGGCTCCTCTAGGTGTCTGGACTTCAACTCCCAGGAGCCTCTGCCAGCTTGGCCTTTGATGGGGAATTCTGGGAGACAGAGTCCAAAGCACCACTGAGAACAACAACAAAGTGGAAATCACTAGATGGGTGTGTCACCCCCACGGGCTGCTACATTCAACCCAGGCGACACTCTCAGGGCCCTCCCACACAGCCCGATGTGTGTGTATGTATGTGTATGTATGTATATGTATATTTGTGTGTGTTTGTGCATGTGTGTGTGTGTGTGAATGTGTGCATGTGTATATGTATATGGGGTATTTTTTGGGTTACAACAGCATCTGTTATAGAACTCCAGTATGCTGATGACAATGTGGTCTGTGCGCATTCAGAAGAAGATCTTACTTACTTAGGCGATCCCTCGCTTTCCGAGGATGATTGTCTTCCAATATTCTTGTGGGTCCGTATGTGGCTGTGGAGCCCTATTCTTGCTCTGCATCTTCTTCCGCAGTGAGGGCATTGGTTTCCAGGTGGAAGGCGGTCCCAGTCAGGGTTGGCTTGACGCGCCTTCCTCCTGGCACGTTTCTCTCTTTCACCCTCCACTCGTGCCTCCTCGAATTCTGCAGCACTGCTGGTCACAGCTGATCTCCAGCTGGAGCAGTCAAGGGCCAGGGCTTCCCAGTTCTCAGTGTCTATGCCAGAGTTTTTAAGGTTGGCTTTGAGCCCATCTTTAAATCTCTTTTCCTGTCCACCAACGTTCCGTTTTCCGTTCTTGAGTTCGGAGTAGAGCAGCTGCTTTGGGAGACGGTGGTCGAGCATCCGGACAACATGGCCGGTCCAGCGGAGTTGATGGCGGAGGACCATCGCTTCATTGCTTGTGGTCTTTGCTTCTTCCAGCACACTGACGTTTGTCCGCTTGTCTTCCCAAGAGATTTGCAGGATTTTCCGGAGGCAGCACACATCGGTCCAGGAGTTGCATGTGACGTCTGTAGACAGTCCACGTCTCACAGGCATAGAGCAGGGTTGGGAGGACAATAGCTTTATAAACAAGCACCTTGGTATCCCTATGGATGTTCTGGTCCTCAAAAGCTCTCTGCTTCATTCGGAAAAAAGCTGCGCTTGCAGAGCTCAGGCGGTGTTGTATTTCGGCGTCAATGTTGACTTTGGTGGAGAGGTGGCTGCCAAGGTAGCGGAAATGATCAACATTTTCTAATGTTACACCATTAAGCTGTATCACTGGCATTGGAGAGGGGTTGGCTGGTGCCTGCTGGAAAAGCACCTTGGTTTTTTCAATGTTCAATGACAAGCCGAGCTTCTCGTATGCTTCTGCAAAGGTGTTTAGAGTGGCTTGTAGATCTTCTTCTGAATGCGCACAGACGACGTTGTCATCAGCATACTGGAGTTCTATAACAGATGTTGTTGTAACCTTGGTTTTGGCTTTCAGTCTGCTGAGGTTGAATAGCTTGCCATTTGTCCAATAGATGATTTCCACTCTACAAGCCACTCTAAACACCTTCACAGAAGCATACACGAAGCTTGGCCTGTCACTGAACATCGAGAAAACCAAAGTGCTGTTCCAGCAGTCACCAGCCAGTGATGTTCCAGCATCACAGGGTGTCTGCGCCCCACACCACTGGAGAAATTACACTGCTTAGCCGGTATTGCACCACCTGACATCCGCTGGGAAGTAGCAGCCAATAGTGAAAGGACCAAGGCAGAGACATCTCCAGCTCATCCCCTGTTTGGGTATCAGCCAGCACGTCAATGACTTAAATCAAGACATAGTTTTCTTAGATCTACAGAGACACTCGCTGGAACACCCCAGCAAGCAAGAGTCCAAAAGTGGCAGGCCCAAACCCAGCACCTCAATTCATGGGTGATACCAGATGAGAGACTCCCCCCTGGGCACACAGAAGACTGGGCGACTTGGAAGGCGCTGAACAGACTGTGCTCTGGCACCACGAGATGCAGAGCCAATCTTAAGAAATGGGGCTACAAAGTGGAATCCACGACATGCGAGTGTGGAGAAGAGCAAACCACTGACCACCTGCTGCAATGCACCCTGAGCCCTGCCACATGCACAAGGGAGGACCTTCTTGCAGCAACACCAGAGGCACTCCAAGTGGCCAGATACTGGTCAAAGGACATTTAACAAAATACCAAATTTGCAAAATCTGTGTGTGTTTTTTCCTTTTTCTTTTTAATCTGTGTGTTTGTTTTGCTCTGTTAGAATGTAATACAATGGTTGCTGATGACACGATAAATATCATTAATCCCCCATGCCAGAGATACAGCTTAATGGTGTAACATTAGAAAATGTGACCATTTACGCTACTTGGCAGCCACCTCTCCACCAAAGTCAACATTGACACCGAAATACAACACCGCCTGAGCTCTGCGAGTGCAGCATTTTCCCAATGAAGCAGAGAGTGTTTGAGGACCGGGACATCCGTAGGGATACCAAGGTGCTTGTCTATAAAGCTATTGTCCTCCCAACCCTGCTATATGCCTGCGAAACGTGGACTGTCTACAGACATCACATGCAACTCCTGGAACGATTCCATCAGCGCTGCCTCCGGAAAATCCTGCAAATCTCTTGGGAAGACAAGCGGACAAACGTCAGCGTGCTGGAAGAAGCAAAGACCACCAGCATTGAAGCGATGGTCCTCCGCCATCAACTCCGCTGGACCGGCCACATTGTCCGGATGCCTGTCCACCATCTCCCAAAGCAGTTGCTCTACTCTGAACTTAAGAACGGAAAACGGAATGTTGGTGGGCAGGAAAAGAGATTTAAAGATGGGCTCAAAGCAAACTTTTAAAACTCTGGCATAGACACTGAGAACTGGGAAGCCCTGGCCCTTGACCGCTCCAGCTGGAGGTCAGCTGTGACCAGCAGTGCTGCAGAATTCGAGGAGGCACGAGTGGAGGGTGAAAGAGAGAAACGTGCCAGGAGGAAGGTGCGTCAAGCCAACCCCGACCAGGACCGCCTTCCACCTGGAAACCAATGTCTTCACTGTGGGAGAAGATGCGGGTCAAGAATAGGGCTCCACAGCCACCTACAAACCCACAAAAATAGTCATCAAGGAAAACCATCTTACTCGTCCAACGAGGGATCACCTAAGAAGAAAGAAAAGAAGATTTTTTGGGATTTTAAGTCTGTTCCGCTGGGGTTGTGTGTGTGTGTTTTAGGGGTGATGGACACTCCTTGGACTGTTAGGTGTATTGTGTCCAAATTTCGTGTCAATTTGCCCAGTGATTTTTGATTATGTTAATCCCACAAACGAACGTTACATTTTTATTTATATCGATTTAAGGTATTTTTATCCCGCTCTTTTTCAGCCCGAAGGTGACTCAGGGCAACCTTAAACTGCTGAGCTGCTAAACTTGTTGACCAAAAGGTTGCAGGTTCGAATCCGAGGAGCGGGGTGAGCTCCCGCTGTCAGCCCCAGCTTCTGCCAACCTAGCAGTTTGAAAACATGTCACTCACATTACTGTTTTCAAACTGCTAAGTAAGCAGAAAGCTAGGGCTGATGGCAGGGACTCACCCCGGCTGCAGCTTGAACTGCCAACCTTCCGATTGGCAAGATTTTCTATAGTTAACGGTTCAATCCATTGTAGTAAGTCGTGGGCCCTATTATTATTATTAATCATTATTTAATACAGATTTCGGACTATAGGAGCCCTCAGTGGCGTGGTGGGTTAAAACACTGAGCTGCTGAACTTGCTGATCAAATACATGCAAATGTGAGTAGATCAATAGGTACCGCTCTGGTGGGAAGGTTAACGGCACTCCATGCAGTCATGCTGGCCACATGACCTTGGAGGTGTCTATGGACAACACCGGCCCTTCGGCTTAGAAATGGAGATCAGCATCACCTTCCAGAGTAAGACATGACTGGACTTAATGTCAGGGGAGACTTTAACCTTTAACCTTAAGGCTGTGTGGAAGGGCCCCCAGACAGACCCTATATCTCAGGGCCCTTCCACACAGCCCTATATTCCAGAATATCATGGCAGAAAATCCCACAGACTTTGCTTTGAACTGGGTTATCTGAGTCCACACCCCGATAATGTGGGATTTTCTGCCTTGATATCATGGGATATAGGGCCTTCAGGATCTGATCCCAGGTTATCTGCTTTAAACTGGATAAAATGAGTCAGAACTGCCAGATAATCTGGGATAGATATTACTACAAGTTCCCTTTGCATACTCTCTAGTTTGGAGTTGCATCAGTTACAGACTAAAGCCTCTTCTTCACTGCCAAATAACCCAGATCATCATACAGATTATCCACATTATCTGATTTGAACTGGATTATGTGAGTATACACTGCTATATAATTCAGTTCTAAGCAGATAATCTGGATTTTATATGGCAGTATAGAAGGGGCCTCAGTAACAGTCTCATGTCAGGTGCCGATGTGAGAATGAATGATAGTGGTGTTTCCCAGACGCCACAAAACAGCTCCCTTTGAAACAAGAAAAGCTAAGGGCCAAAAACCCCATCAAAGAGAGGTCAAGAATCCCTAAAGGCATAACTTGAAGGCTCAACAACAACCTTTAACAAACAATAGTTGGGTGCCCCCAGTGGCGCAGTGGGTTAAACCGCTGAGCTGCTGAACTTGCTGATAGAAAGGGTACAGTTTCGAATCTGGAGAGAGGGTGAACTCATGCTGTTAGCCCCAGCTTCTGCCAACCTAGCAGTTCGAAAAAATGCGAATGTGAGTAGATCAATAGGTACCGCTCTGGTGGGAAAGTAATGGCACTCCATGCAGTCATGCAGGCCACATAATCTTGGAGGTGTCTATGGACAACGCTGGCCCTTCAGCTTAGAAATGGAGATGCTCACCAACCCCCAGATTTGGACACAACAAGACTTAATGTCAGGGAAACCTTTAGCTTTACCTAATTGGGTGGTAGCACACATTTTTTTACTCTCATATGAAATGGGCTGAATATCCTGTTTCTTTTCAAGCTTCAGGGTACAGAATCTCTTGA